GTGTGTTCACTGCTGTGTGTGTGCACTTTGGATGGGTAAATGCAGAGCACTAATTCCGAGTATGGGTCACCATACTTGGCCACATGTCACGTCACTTTACTTTTTCACTTTATTGTCATAATTATCACAGAAATACTGGAATAATTGTTTACTTTAATTTGCTTTGAAAAAATTTGTGTTGGACAATGGGGGTCATTTGTGTCTAAAGCTTGAGAACTGGGATCATAGTATCATATGTAACCGTTATCCAGTGATGCTTCCCACACAAGTCGGCGTCAAAGTAAATTTTGGTGACATTTGGCCAAACTGGAGGAACAACTTTGACTTCTGTGTGAAGGGGGTATTGTGTGAAACCACATTACATACAATGAACAAACAAGAGGGAATGTTTCCAGGTCATGACGGTCATGTTCTGGGTGGCATTTTAGAACATGCCTGAAAAATTTGGAAAACCCATGTCCCAAGATACATGCAGTATACTGTGAATTAAAGAGTAAAGTGGGGAACTCAAACTACTCAGCATGCTATTTGTCATTAGGCATCAAATAACGATAGAGTGTTCAAGACTTTTATGAATACCGACTAGATTTTAGTTGTATCATCTGTAGTAGATGTTTTAACTTTTGCAATGTCCTTAAGATACAAAAAATACACTGTTCAAATTGTCTTTTTTGTGGGCTCGCATTCTTTTCTGAAGCCCTGGAAGTGTTTATTAGTAGTTTTAGTAGTTATTTTCATGTGCCAGTAGATTTGTGTCACTTTGGTCTGATTCACCAATTTCATCAACAAAAAAATTCAATTGTCCCTTTAAATTTAGGTTAAAAGGGTGTTAAGCTGTTGGTTATAATTATACTTTGGACAATCATATATAATAATTGCAATTGTAATAAAGTGGATAATTGAATAATCAGTATCATATTAAACAAACTGTATCATATTAAACAAACTGGTGAAGAAATACTTCTCTTCTGCATGTTTTCACTTGATTTTGGAGTTTCACAAATTCTACCATTTAGCGAGTATGATGTGAAGAGAGTGGGTCAATGAGACAGTGGAGCTTCAGATCAGAAGAATGGAGGGAATGTAAGTCTAGTTCCCACCATTTCCTGAACGCACTCTTCCCCCTTCATTCTCTCGCTTCTCTCTTCTAGTAAACAGACCACAGGATCACAGGTCAGTCATATTACATATCATTTTCAGAATTTGATGTACTCACTATATGCCTTAGTAGAAAAATCAACCCCTTTTTATGTGTATTCAGTGAAATATTTGGCTTTGGAATCAATTTTACCTACATATTCTGTCTTCTTTTTATTTACAGTGAAATCTCAAACTTTTGCTCAAACTTTTTTTTATGAGATCTTATAGGCTGTGTTATATACTGCAATGAACCCAAGGGACCTAGATCAAACTGGAAACATGTTACCTATTAGATCTCCCCTCAACTCCCCCTTTCTGTCTTCAGCAAGACTCTCCCCATGTCTTATCCCTCTTTCTCCTTCCCCTTCCCGTCTCTCACCATGTCCCATTAACTCAGGCTCTTCTCCCTCCCGCCTCTCACCTTTATCCACTTCTCCTTCTCGTCTCAGTCCATCTTCTCACTTTATTTCGTCTTACTCTCCTGTTTGTCTGTCTCCCTGCCCCACATGTGACCCATCTACCTCACCCATTAGAGTGTCCTCCTGTCCCGTGCCTCTTTCCCCCTCTGTTGTCTTAAAAAAGCCCATCCACATTTCCTCCTTCAGTCAAACCGGGCAAAGCTTGGAACAACAGAACCAGATTGATAGTTCTCCTCAAAGGTATGTTTCTCTCAGTACAAACATTTTTTTTAAGCTTTTTGATGCCAAAGACCCCCAAATCTTTTTGATGCAGATTCCCTTATGAGGAACCTCCTTCCTAAAATGTAAAGACTAATTTATTCTGTGCAAGAAAAAATGTAATACTATAAAGCATTGCTTTTTGTAAATTTAAATACTAATATACAATAATACATAGTATGTAATATAATAAACTAAATACAAAAGATGATAATTTCTACCAAAGCAAATGGTAAATATGCTGTCTGAAAAATATTTACTTAGTAGTATTAAGTTATAATTATTGAGTGTTAATTTTGCTGCCCACTATATTAGATACATACATGTAATGAGAAACATACTCAGTTAATTTTAAATTTTTTATTTAAATTTTTTTTTAATTAAAGCATTTTATTTTTACTGTAATTTTCCATTAACTTTTACATATCTAAAAATAATTTAAAAAAATCTATGGATCCCCTAGGAATCCCTACACCCCATTTCAAGAACCCCTTTCTCAATATACTACATTATCATGTGTCATTTCCAAATATTGCATAATTGCTAATTTCTTTCATTTTGTGATATTTGACATTGTTGAAAATTTTGGCTATTGAAAACATATATTCATCACCCATCATGTTTATCCATTTTGATTGTTCTGTGTTCTACAGCATCATCAATACAGTGGATACATCCCTAAATTCACCACATCTGAAGTCAGTCAATACCATTTCTCAATTAGAGACGTCAATTAGAGTGCTACCAACAGATGAAAACAAACCATTACATTCTGCAGATATGCATGGTAAAACATGGCCAGTCGAAAGCAAAATGTCTAGATTCACGCCTGTTTTATCCACTGAAAGAAGTGTAAGATCAATCCCCATAACCAACACGAGGGGTCAAAAAAAGCAAACTGGCCAACAACAAGATCCATTCAGACCTCCACAGCAGGATAAACTAAAGCAAAATTCGAACATCTATTGCAGGGGTGCTACCAAGCCTTCAACATTTGAAAGCTTAAGCCCTAAAAACCTCAGACATGTTGAAAAAAATGTATATAGACCACAAAATTTAGCTAGCTATCAAAAGAAACGCCAATCTCAAGACCCTACTCTACTTCGAATCCGGCTTGGATTGATGAAAACAGGCAGGATTATAAACTCTGGTGCCCAGTTTTCCGATCTGGAGAAGATCAAGGGAAGCAATGAAGAGAACATTCCAAATATTCGGAGCGATGGACATCCTGCTGTTTCAGAAAAGTTAAAACAGCCTATTCGTTCAAAGATAATGTTAGGAGCAGCCAAGCGGATAATAAGACCCACTATGATGTGTGAGAGGAGCTGTGGGAAACCTCAAAACCAAGCACAAGCTTCAGTTGAAGGAACAAGACAGTTCTCCAGACAGTCGGCACTTATAAATCCAATCTCATCACCTAAAGCTACCACAAACCAAAAGGATATTTTTCAAGAACTGGATAATGTACGTTCTCTAAAGGAATACAGTGAACTGGTTTCATCCAACTCAGAGCTTCAAGACAGAGCTTCAGAGAACTGTAACGCCACCAATGATAGTTCTCATGAAAGTAATATGATGAGGAACTCCTCCCAACATAATCAAACCAGTGCTAATGACAACCAAGAGTCTAAATCAAAGATCAGGCCTCAGTCTGCAGCTTCCGAGACAGACAGCGCCATCATCACATACAGTAATGCATCAGATCAGTGCAGCCGGATGAGCTGCTTCCAGTTCCCTTTGAAGAGTCACAGATCATCCACTGAATGCGGTCAGCTGAGCCGAATCTGTAGACCTGTGATCAAAAGAACATCTGACAGTAGACCTACATACTTCAAAACTCCTCAGGCATGGAGAAGATCTTCCTCAAACCAAACGGGGAACACAAGAAGGGATGTCAGCAATTCATCCCGAAATAGATGCAGCCTTTCGGATTCAGATTCTTCTAAATCCTCTTCAAGCGACGTGAACTTGTGTGAAGATTACAGATTTGCAAGAAGACACAGAGGCTCGCAGTTATACAAAAAGTGTGCTACTAGTTGTCCAACTAAATTTGTTGGAGAGAAACGTGAATCAGCTGTTCACCCGGACCTCTCGGACAGCCAAAACACACACACAGACTCTGAAATGCTGAAATATCCCTTGGCTGGATGGATGCCACAGTGTCCGTTCACTCTAGATCAACAACAAGAGTCCAAACACACACTTCATTCTACAGATTGTGACAGATTTCAAGACATGAACTCCTCGTGGTTAACAGAGCGAGAAGACCCCCTACCATTACAGCCATCTGTAGTCGCAGACACGAGGAGCGGAGTTGACTCCTGTCCTGAAGAATGTCTGTCTAAAGGTGGGTGCAAAGATAAATGACTGGAATTACATTAAAAGGACTGTATATAAAGCTGCTTAAAGACATGAGACGTCATAAATAGTATGTACTGTATATACATAGGGGCATTATTTAAATTTAGTATATAAACAGACTAAGCATTCAGGGAGGAAGACTTTAATTTGTCATTAGTGGTGAATGTTTGAGTGAGAATCACAGTTTTATATTTAGGGTTAGAGATTTAAAACAGTCCTTAAGCCTAATAAATATTTTACTTAGGTGCACAATATGACATTTCAATTTGATACCTCAAATCATGTGGTTTCAAGAAAGTAAGCAACCACAAGCAATGCGCTAAAATCACTCAGAACACTAGCAACCACTTAACATGCTAAAATGAATTATAACATCATAGTAACCACATAACAACATTCTAAAACCACTCAGAACACTTTAGAAACTGCTAAAAATCATGCAGAACATCTTAGAAAGCGTTCTAAAACGTGCTAAAAATCACCTTAGGAACTTAAAAATGACAGCAAACACTTTAGTAACATGATAAATGTCACTCAGAATAACTACACAGCAATGTGGTAGAAGCACTTGTTAGTTGCATGCTAAAAATCACTTAAGCAACTCCATAGCAATGTGCTTAAACACTATGAACATATTAGCATGTGCATAGCAATGAGCTAAACATCACTCAAAACACTTTAGTAACTACATAAAATTTGTTAAAAATCACTCAGACCGCTTAAGCAACGCAATGAGCTAAAATCACTCAGAACACCTTAGCAACCACTTAACATGTTAAAATGAATCATAAATGAATCAAAACATCTTAGTAATCACATAACATGCTAAAATCACTCAGAACACCATAGAAACTGCATAGCAACGTGCTAAAAAATCACCGTATAGGAACTGAATAGCAATGTGTTAAAAAATCACACCAGACACTTTGGCAATTACATAGCAATGTGGTACAAATAACTTAGAACAACTTATAACCACACAGCAATGTGCTAAAAATAACCCAACTTTTCACTCAGAACACTTTAGCTACATAAAATTTGCTAAAAATCACTCAGACCTCTTTAGCAACTTCATAGCAATGAGCTAAAAATCACTCAGAGCACCCCAAAAGATGAATAGCAATGTGCTAAAAATAACTTGAAATACTTTTGCAACTTCATAGCAAGATCACTCCAAACACTTTATCAGGCTCATAGCATAGTGCTAAAAATCTCTCAGAACACCTTAACAATCGCATAGCAAGCTAAAATCACTCAAAACAGCTTAGCAACTGAATCGCATTGACCTGGCACAAGTGAGCACCACTTTCGTTTTCATTGGAACTCTTGAATGGAATCTGCTACTTGCTTAACTCTAATATGAACCTTAATGATCAACTGTAATAATCTCTAATTGTCAGTTGTACTGAAATTGCAAGGTAAAAGTGATGACAACCAGCTCTTTAGATCATGTGAATAAAAAAAAAAAAACACTGGTGGTTAGGCTGTGATGTTGATGTCGATGTCTAAAAGGGAAAATGTTATATATATCCATATAAAAATAAGGTTAAGTCAAAAAGGTTGTGGTATGTCAGTGTTTCAAAATACTCAATATGTATCTACAAATATGAACCTTAGAAATTCTAATATGCCAGTGTTTTCTGAATATAAGCCAGGATATATAGAGACATAGGACAAACTGGAAATGGTATAGCGTGCAAAATAGGGACTCTGCCTTATCATCAAGCACAGGCCTGTCTAAACACAGTGAGATAACCCGGTTATGAGGTAAAAGACACTGCGGCTCAACGGCACTTTAGTGCCCACTATATATGCCACCACAAACACTTAACATGTGAACAGAGCGCATGAGACAGGCAGGCGCGGGACTACAAGGCCATGAAATGTGAGTAGTTTTGATGACATAAAATGCGCTGTGCGAAATTAATCTTTTGTTTTGTACTGTTCTGTGGTATTGTGCGTTTAAGTTATTTGCTAAATATGTATTTCAGGATATTCAATGAGGACAAAATGAAACAAGTCAAATGGAACAAGGTGGTTGGAAAATAAAAGGACTTGATGACGTCAGCAGAACGGGATCGTTGTCAGTTGATAGTTATTGTTTCTTTTTAAATTATTTTGCTCCGTAAGAATTAAGTATTTAAGAAATTATATATTATTTTGATCAGTATATATTTTGGAACAGAAAAAAAAAACGTTTTCATTAACAAGAGTCATTGTGATCCACATGTCGCTGTTTTACATAGTCCTGTAACTAATCATAAGCCACAGTAATAGCATGATAAAACACGCATAGCAAAGTTTAATATAAATATCTGTACAAATGTAGCTTACCAAAACAAACAAACAAACAAACAAACGGCTAAGATTTAAAGGGGTCATATGATGTTGCTAAAAAGAACATTATTTAGCACCTTCGCGACATGGCGGCGGCGGCAACAATACTACAGCTAGAATAAAAGTTACGCCTTCTCTCTTTGCGTGAACATTTAGGCGGTGTTATGCAAATCTTCCCACATAGTGAGGTAGATATGTGGGGGTGTGTTAGAACGAGCCGTTTTAGGTAGGCGTGGTTGACTCTTAACTTTTATAAAGAATATCTCTTTGGATTTGAGACTTTAGTCTTTGCATCTTTACAGATCTTCTTTATGCACCAAGAGCTTGTAACACTCCAAAGAGAAAGGAAAAAATTAAATTGCATCATATGACCCCTTTAAATAGCCTAGCAGAGTGCCAACAATCACCTAGCGACCCGAATCCCTAATTTCAGCACTGCGCATGCGCGCTGCATCACCCAGTCTCCCGTTAGTTTCCTTGGTAACGAGAAAAGGGTGGAGAAAGGAATGGGGTGCATCGAGCTGCGAATAGAAAGGCGAGAGACGGAGGGAAAGAAAGAGGCACCTGAACACATGATCAATCCCTAACGGCTGTTCAACTACTGACTTAGCCTACTTGTACTTCAATAGACTGTAAAACAGCGAGAGGCAGAGAAAGGACGAAAAATAAAATTTATCCTGCGACCGCTGCAAAAACACGGATCGGTGAGTAGAAGAGCGTTTCCCTCTGATTACTGGTCATTATACGAATCTTTTTGAGGTAAAAAAAAATCAATAAATGGAACAAATGGGAAGGTAGACGCTTACATTGATCCTTGTATGTTTATGTTTGGTTTCCCGCCTTTAAAAACTGTAACGTTTAAAATGGCAATAATACTGACATTATTCTCTAAATGATAGACGCAGATTTTTCCGTACTATGGAAGTCAGTGGCTACTGTCAACTGTTAGGATAATACTGTTTGAGAATACGTATCAGATATGCTGATACGT